GATCATTTTTATTTTAAGTTAAATATTTATGTTAAATAATTTAAATCACCGGTTAATTTATTTGAATTTAATTATGATCATATTTTTTTTGGTTGAAACAGGTACAATGGGCCGCCTAGCTGCCCGTTTTATCAACAATTAATAACTCTTCAGCTTCCTTGGGTTAGTTTTTCAAAAAAACTGTGTTTTCCTTATACTTCCTTATTTGCTTGGCGATGAAGTCCGCTACGCAATTGGCCTCTCTAGGTATGTGCTTCAACTCTACTTCCCAATTTTTCTTTAATAGTTTTCCTATGTGCTGCAGTATGGTAAGTTTTCTGTGCTCAGGCGAATTATTTTTGATAAGGTTGATAGATTCTTTGTTATCAGATTCCAAAACCATTTTTTTCTCCCCTATTCCAAGCCATATTTAAGCCCTCGTGAATGCCCCATAGTTCTGCTTCGAAAATGGAGCAAGTCCTTATTCTTCTGCCAAAACCCAATCGCTAATTTCCATTGTGGTCTCTTGCAACTACCCCACACATAGCTTCTCTAGTGCTCTGATTCTTGGTTTCGTCTGTATTTATTTTACAGTAGTTTCTAATAGGCTTTTTCCATTTATTTTGGATTTCATTCCTGCTTGGTGTGTTTCCAGATTTGTTAAATCATGGATTATGTATATCCTGGGTCAACCTCATAGCTTGTTGAATAACAGTTTCTCTTTCGATCATTTATGGGTCGAAGATCGCCTGATTTCTTATTTTCCAAATAACCAAATTACAGAGCTAAAGAATGAAGGTCAGTTTTCAATTGATGGTAAAGGGGATTGGGTTGTTTCCAGGTTTTCGGTGATCCACTCCTTGATGCTGTTACTCAAAAATTTATCCAAATTCTGGGTATCAATCAGTTTTGCCCATATCAGCAATGTTCTCGGGCAGAATCTCAGCATATGGTTTGAGTCTTCTGTCTCATAGTTGCACATGGGGCAGCTTGCATCCGTCATCATATGCATGTGCACTCTTTCCAAATTGGTCAATATTTTATCTTTCCCAATGAGCCATAGAAACGCTTTGATCCTGGGAATATTGTTATGCTTGGCAATGATACTCCAAATCTTTTCTTCTGTTGAATTGATATTTTCTATCACCTTATACGTTGATTTGACTGAGAAAACTCTTTTCTCCAAGAGGATCCAACCTGGTGAGTCAGCAAGGATTTCTTCCACTGGAGGTTAATGATTCGATCCGGGAGGAGTCTTGTGAGCTTATTCCAGTCCCAGGTACCATTTTGATTAATCAACTCCTTGACTTTAGATTTGTCGTTCTCCTCTTCCCTTGGTTGATTGCATAGTCTGTATAGGAAGTATTTATTATCTAGCCATATGTCATGCCAGAATTCAACATGTTTTTCGTTTCCATCGTTCCAATATATATTCTATTTAAACTTTGGCCATATGGAGCATAAGCGGTTCCATAGAGATGATTCTCCCCTTTTTTCTAGCTTTTCAGGTAGAATCTATTTCATTATGTATTTGCTTCTCATCACCTGCACCCATAAAAGATCAGATCTATTAGTAAGTTTGTAGGCAAGTTTGAAAATGAATGCCTTATTTTGGAATCTCAAATTCTTCAAGCCTTATCCCTCGATTGGTTTAAAGATTGTATCCCATTTCACAAGGTGAATACTTTTATGCTCATTTGTATTCCCCCAAATAAAATTTTTGGTTAGCCTTTCAATCTCATTGCACGTTCATTTAGGAATTAATATTGACTGCATAGTGTATGCAGGAATTGCATTGAGGACTGGTTTAGCAAGCATAATTCTTCCCGCTAATGATAATGTTTTAGCCTTCCAACCTGCAAGTCTGTCTTTTATTATTTGGATGATGTTGTTGTAAGTTCTTTTATTGAACCTGTTGTGAAGCAGAGGAACTCCCAGATAATTCCCAAGGTTCTTGACTTCCTTGATGTAAATCATATTGGTTATAGTGTTTCTAGTTTGTGCATTAATATTGCTAGAATAATAGATGATGGATTTCTGCATGTTCACTTTTTTACCCGAGCTACTACAGAATTTTGGGAGAGTGTTCTAAATAATTTCAATTTGAGAAATATCAGCTTTCGCAAAAAGAATGAGGTCATCTACAAAAAAGATGTGAGAAATGTTAGGACCATTTCTAGACAGTTTGATTGGTTTCTATTTTCCTTGCTCCACAGTTAACACAATTTCTTTTGCTAGTCTTTCCATGCAGATGACAAAGAGGTAAGGCGATAGAGGATCACCTTGCCTGATCCCCCTAGTCAGTTTAAAAGGCTCGGTAAGATCTCCATTCCAATTTAGTTGGATTGACATGGAGTTAATGCAATTCATAATGTCCAGAATAATCCTATTAGGCAGACCCAATTTCTCAATGCTATCCTTAATAAAATCCCAATCCAATTTCTAGATCAATCTTGATGGTCATTCATCCTTTTTTTCCTTTCTTTTTCTTCATAGAGTGAATAACTTCTTGTGTTAGGATTATGTTGTCAGTAATAACCCTGCCCGGAATAAAACTCGTTTGGCTACTAGAGATAATGTTAGGAAGAATAGGTTTGAGACGGTTAACAATAACTTTGGTAATAATTTTATAGGTAACCTGACAGAGGCTTATGGGTCTAAATTGTGTAATTCTCTCAGGATTGTCTACCTTGGGTATTAACACAAGACTCGTTCTGTTTAGAGCTTCATCAATTTGACCCCATTAAGGCAATGTTTAACTAAATTGTAAACCTTTTCTCTAACTATGTCCCAATTGTTCTGGAAAAAACTTGCATGAAACCCATCAACACCTGGAGCTTTGAGCGGATTCATACTGAATAAAGTTTCTTTAATCTCGATGTTATCAAAAGGTTTTTCAAGCCAATTCCATTGGTCCCTGTTCAGATTAGGAAAAGGTCTAGTATTTTCCAGGGATAGCCTGGTCAAATTGTCCTTGGTAAACAGCTCCTCATAGTACTCATTGACATTTTTTTAAGCATATTATGATTATCGCACCAAGAATCAACTTCAATTTTAAGAGCTGTTATAAGTTTTTTTCTACCCTCAGTGATCGCACATGAATGAAAATATTTGGTATTTTTATCTCCGTGGTTAATCCATTTGCATCTAGCCCTTAGAGCCCAAATTAGTTCTTCTTGTCTTATAATAGTGTACAGTTCAGTCTTGAGTTCATATTCAAGGGTTGCCAGTTTGGTGGAGTTATAACAACGTAAAACTTTATCGATACCTTTCAGTCTAGAAACTATTCTTTTCTTCTTTTGGTTGATAATGCCGAAAGTTTCATTATTCCAAACTATGATGCTTTTCTTGTAATGATTGAGGCTTTCCATAAGATTATCATTCTTAACCCACTCTTCTTTAAGAAATCGATCAAAATCAGGGTGATCCATCCAGGCTGCCAGAAATCTAAAAGGTTTCTTTTAATTATCCTTGGGGCTATTCATAGTGTACAACAGAATAGGAAAGTGATCATATCCAATTCGGTCCAGATGTAGCTCTCTAGTTTCAGGGTATAATTCTAACCACTTTATATTCATAATACATCTATCGAGTCTTTGCCAAAGATTACCACGACACCAAGTAAAATCATCTCCTTGTAAATTAACTTCTATCATTTCATTGTTTAATATGAAATCTTGGAAATGTTTACTCTCACCTCTGAAGCGATTATTTCCCCCAACTCTCTCATTATGTCTCAAGATACAATTAAAATCTCCTCCTAACATCCAGGGTTCATTATTGCACGGTTTGAGATTGTCCAAGAGATCCCATATTTTATATCGAATGTTGGGGTTAGGACTGACATAAACTGCTGTAACATAATTCCAGCAGTTACTGTTAATATGCTTGACACGGGCATGCACATATTGGTTAGAAATGCTTAGAATCTTAACCTCAACCGAATTATCCCAAAGCATCCAGATTCCTCCACTATGGCCCAGAGCTTCAATTCTAAAGGAATTAATATAACCTATATTCTTAATAATTATATCTGCTCTTCTGCCACTTATGTGAGTTTTCATTATAGCAATGATCTTGGGCTTGTGTATAGGCGCACAGTCTTTAAAGTGTCTTCTAAAAGAAGGTTTTACTGCCCCTTGGGTATTCCAAAACAGGATCTTCATAATCATTGAGATAGAGGGTAAATGTTTTGTGACAGCTCCTTATCCTTTTCTTCAGCTTCTTTGCTTTGGCTCTGATCAATTTGCTCAACCATTTGAACATGACTAATTGTAGAAATGATGTTGTCAGGAGAAGCCAAATTTTCTGAATTCGTAGTATTTTCTTGAATTCATTCTGATAGAAAAGGGATGTTAGGATTAATATTAGTTTTTGAATTTCTGACTTTGAGGCATTTTTTGGTGATGCGAGAAATTTGACTAGGCTTCCTGTTGAAGTTCCATCAAGAAGTAAGATTCCTGTTAGTCTTTTTCGTGAATGGAAATAGTTGTATGTATTCCATATCCTACAGTTAATATGTGTTCACTGATTCGGGCATCTTCCTTTGCCATGACTTGAATTCCATCAAGACTTAATTCCTTAGTGTGATCTTCATTCACTGTCATTTCACCGTCAGTGATAGGAACATCCACTAAACTGTTGTTGTCAACTTCAAGATTGATGGTAACATTTGTTTGAGTTTGGTTCGTATTTTAATCCACTTTAGTTAAAGTGACTTTGTTTCTCGTTCTTTCTCTATCTCCCATTTTGTTTTCCATCTGGTTCTTTGGTGTGTTAGTTCTTGTAGCAGGGGCTTGTAATTCAGATTCCCTACTTAGTTTTTGGTGTTCTTTAATGCTATTCCTGGGTTCTTCCTCTATATGTTCATTATATAGAGGCGCAAATATGGAGCCTTGTTTTGATGTTCCTTCAACTTCTTTATTTCTACTTTGGGTTCTTTGGTATCTGTTGTTTCTTCCTCTTGGCTGAACAACCATCCAAGGGCTAAAGGGGTTATCTTTGTTATTTTCCTCATTCACTTATTCTTCAACAGTATGACCAGTGTTGGGAATATCTATATGTTTTCCTTCTTGATTTGTTTGACATGCTTCTTTTACATGCCCATGGGTACCACATTTGAAACAGATCTGTTGGAGTCCCTCATATTCAATTTTTTGTATAAAATCGTCTATTCCCACGCATGGAGTAAGAGACTTATTCAGGTCAATTACAACTGCAATTCTAGCGAATTTTCCCCTCTCTCCAACTTTGGTATTGTAGTCAATTTTGATGACTATTCCTATCGTGTTCGCAATTATTCTGATTAGTACAATATTGTAATATATGTAGGGCAAACCAGGTAGTCGCAACCAAGCGATGACTTGTGAAGGGTGCTTCTCGATTATAGTAAAATTCCTCGACCATGGTTGAACTGTCAGGTAGCTTCCATATATCATCCAAGGACCATCGGTAAGAACTCTCATGTAGTCCTCAATATCTTCGAATTTCACTAAGTAATAGTCGTTTTCAAGATCTATTAAGTTGAAATTACCTATTGGCTTCCATAGCGTATGTATTCTATTCATCAGAGCTTTATATCCAATCTTCTTTCTCAGCAGTCTCGTGATAACAACTTGTTTCATGTTTCGATCAATCAGCTCATGGATTCGCCTAAAGAAACTTATTTTGAGAAGTTTCCAGAATTGTCCATGGTGACATCTCCTTCTTAGAAGATTATTTCTTCTTCGGGCATCTTGAAGGGAGGATTCTTGAACATAGTCGATCCACTGGCAGCCATGGCCGTATATGAGATTTTCTCCGGACTGTTGGGGCGTTCTTTAGTCGCAACAGCTCCATCTTGAGGATCATCTTCAGTTTGCATGTCCTCCATTGGTTGGATTGTTTCATTATCTTTAGTTGTTATTTCCCGATTCTTAACTTTCTTTGTGGCTCTTTGATATTCTTGGACGCTATCGATGTTCATATTCTTGGAGAATAGAAAAGTGTCAATTTCGTTCTGTTTGACATCAAAAATAAAATCGGATAAACTACCTCGATCATATTTTATTTTAAGTTAAATATTTATGATTAAATAATTTAAATCACCTGTTAAGAGTTCTCTTTAAATGGATGTTATGTTATACTTATCCCAAATTAATAAAAAATTTAATCACGTAATACTTTGATTCGATAATTTTTTAATAAAAAATGACTAATTTTATTAAAAAGAGAAAATGTTCAAAAGTACAATGATTGTTTATAATCATAATCTAGACATATAATTATGATTCTTTTATAACAATCGACACAAAAAACTAGTTACTTGAGATCATATAAGTACTATACAAGAAAAATGTTAAAAACTTAACAAAAGATAGATACGAACAAATCTGATTGCATTAGAAAATAAATCATAATAGGGATCAAACTATTGAAAGACCACTAACAAATTGTAAATAATAACCCAGCAACGTGAGAAAACCCACCACGAATACAAACTGTGTATCAAAATCTAATCCAATGGTCCAAACCAAAAAAATATCAATAGGGTAACAAATAAGTACTATCTTAACTAGTCGAGACGATGCCAAATCCAAACCTGAGAAAAAGATACATGAAATGAAAATAATGACTAAGAGACCAATAACATGCTAAATGATAGAAAAATATACCATTAATGGAGATAAAATGTATTATAAAAGTAAAACTATTAAAAACTAAAATAAAAATAAAAAAGTGTTATAAAAAATAAAAAACATTATAATGAACAAAACCGGATGATAACATTTGAACAAATAGAATGACGTACGCTAACGGTTTTATTTGGGTGCATGTTAACAGGTCTAATGTGGCTTGAGATTTCTGGTACTGTTCCGGTGGGTTATGATCGGACTTTGTTGTTGATTATGGTGGATTGGGGTAATTGTCCTTTTATTGCCTCATGAGTGACACTTCTAAACTCGATTAGAAAAAAATATTTGCGGGTAAGGTTGTGCAGTCGTTGTAGTATTTTCCTCCGATTGTTTGAGAAAGTCTTATGGTGGCTCGGCCACCTAATAAGGTCTTAGAGCAGGGAATTTCCGAGTGGAAGCTTTCGTTGGTTGGTCAGTTCATCGATGCTACCTCGAATTTCAACTCAATGTAGAGGATTGTTGATATGCTTTGGGGGGAATTTACTCTTGTTCATGTGAGTTTAGCTTGGCCGAACTTGTATGTGTTTTCCTTTATTTCTGTGGCTTCTAGAGATTGGGTCTTAGAGAACAGACCTTGGCATATACAGAATAAGCCTTTGATTGTAAGGATTGGGTCTTAGAAAAAAACTATTGTTTTTGTGGATAGTGTTGCTGTAGAGAGTGAGAAAGTTTATGAAGTTAATGTGGAGGCTAATGTTAATGTTGTATATAGAGAAGGTAAGCAAGTTGTTGAGATGATAGGTACGAAAGAGTAAGGATTTTCCTTCTCTTCAGGTTTCCTTGTCACAAATAAAAATGATAGAGGTAAACTTAATAACAATAAACATATTGTTGGATCCCCAAATAGATTTGAGGTTTTGACTAATGTTGGAGGCATAGAGGGAGCCAAGAAGGTAAAAGTTGCTTCATTGGGAGTTGATGCACTATTAAATTATATGAAGGCTAAGAAGAAAGATAATATTGATAAAGTCACTATCTCTGATTCAGTGGTTGGTGTTGGTGATGGTAAGTTGGAACTTTCTTCTTAATGATTTTGTGTTTTTTGGTATATTAGGGAATTTAATAATCCCCTTAAGCAAGTGCAGGTTATGTCTCGAATGAGGAAGCTTATGGTTGATGTCATATGTTTCCTGGATACTAGGATTAGGAGAGTGAATAAGGATGGGTGTGCTAATTATAATGCTTCTGAAAATGGGAGGTTATGGCTCTTTTGGAAGAAAGATCTTAATTTTAGGATGTTTTAAGAAGGTGATCAATCTATGTCCATTAGTGGTGATTGTGGAGGTTACAGAATTGATATCACTACAGTCTATGGTAGTAATTCTGGTGTGGATAGAATGAGTTTGTAGGGGTAGATGAGAGAGTTAAAGAAGGATGTGGGGGAGTCTCCTTAGTTGGTGGGTGAAGATTTCAACATTTTTACTTGTACTGAGAAGAGCTATGATCTTGTGGTTGTTGGTCCTTATAATTTGGCTGATATGACTGAATTTAAGGATTGTTTGGCTGAGGTGGAGCTCATAGATCACCCTTATTCTAGCTCTCTTTACACATAGTCTAATAAGTAGGGGATACTTTCTTGGCCAGGAACTTGATAGGATTATGGTTTATGCTCAGTGTTTGATCACCACCTTGGAGTTGTGTGGACTCATAAGGACATTCAGGCTAATAGGCCTAAACCATTTAATTTTTTTAATTATTAGACCTCTCATGTTGAGTTTATGGAGATTGTTAGATTCTCATGGCAGGGGGAAATTATAGGTAATGTATTGAAAATATTTTTGTGTTTCGATATAACAAATTAAGTTTAAATGAATTTTAAGATTTTACAAATGATTTTCTAAGTATATTTGATTTAATTAATCGAATATCAAATTATTACTCAAAGTATTTCAAGTTCAAATTCAAACCTTATTAAATGTGTAAAATTGTGTTTTATACTTAAACTATTTTTGAAACAATTTTCACAAAGTATTTTGAACCAAAATCAAGCCTAAAATCAATTTTTCAAAGTGATGCACCGATGCACCAATCCATGCATCGATGCACCAATTAATTTTTCAAACATCGAATGCATTTTATGCATCGATGCACATACCATGCATCGATGCACTCAGTGCATTTAATGCATCGATGCACAAGACCATGCATCGATGCACTCATATTTTTTTCAAAACATCGAATGCATTTTATGCATCGGTGCACTAAGAGTGCACCGATGCACTGAGAGTCCAACGATCAAAATATTTGAATTTTACACTGATGCACCTAGGGTATGCATTGCTGCACTGACGCTCCCAACTACTTTAATTAATTGTTTTCACACTTAAACGGCTCTATTGACTCTACTAATCATCCCCAACGTTTAGAATCATTTGAAAGTGTATTTAAACAAGCTTAGAAGCCAATGATCAACAACAAGAAACAACAAGCAACTAGAATCAAGAGAGAATCAAAGAGAAAGCATCAAAACTGCAAGTTTGAGCATTTCAAGCCTATTTTTCATTCAATATTTATTTTGCTTTCAAGAACACTACTTGTACTCAATTGTATTCATTCTTGAGTGTTCTTTTCTTTGTTCTAGAATTGTGCAAACAATCTACCTTGTGAGGATTTCCTTGTTAGTTTGCAAATTTGTAATCTTCTCTTTGGGAGAGAGTGTTCTCAAGAATTTGGGGTATAATTCTTGAGGGATTTGTAAGGTTACTCTTTGTCCTCAAAAGAAAGACAAATTAGTGAATTTTTGGAAAATCCTTAGTGTGGATAACTAAGGTAGTGGACATAGACTTTGGTTGAGAAAGTCGAACCACTCTAAATCGCTGCGCAATTACTTTCAATTTTCTGCATAGCTTCCACCGAAATTTTTATTTGTCAATTCACCCCCCTCTTGGCCATATTCGTCGATCGATTAACTCAACAATTGGTATCAAAGCCTCACTCATTTGAAGGTTTAATCGCCTCTTGAGTCAATTCGGGAATAGTTACATCGATTGTCAAGTCATCAATGGCCTCTACTTCAAATGTCGACTCCGTTCTCGATTCGATGCCCGTCAACAAGCCTCCTTTCTTCAATAGATCTAACTATGCCTATTGGAAGAATAGGATGATGTATTTCATTCAAGCAAGTGACATGGGAGCATGGAATGTTGTAGAAGACGGATATATCAAGCCTCTCACTCATCCAAGATTGTGGAGTGAAGGAGAGACAAGAATGTTCCAGCTCAACTCCAAAGCAATCCATATCATATTTTGTGCTCTTGGACCAGATGAATATGGAAGAGTTTCATCTTGTACAACCGCTAAAGAAATATGGGATAAACTACAAGTCACTCATGAAGTCACCGACGAGGTAAAAGAATCTAAAATTAGTCTTCTAACACATAACTATGAAAATTTAAGGATGAAACCAAATAAAGATATCAAAGCTATGACGGATAGATTCTCAGCGATTGTCAATGGTCTCAAATCATATGGAGAGAACATTCCAAATGAAAAGCTTGTGAGGAAGTTAGTTTACTCACTTCCAAAATCATGGCAATCCAAGAAGGCTGCAATCATCGAGGCTAAGAACCTAAAGTCCTTTACTCTTGAAGAGCTAATCGGTTTCCTCCTCACTCATGAAATGATGCTTGAAGATGAGGTGGACCTCGATAAGATTAACGAGACACCAAATGATAAGAATAAGAAGAAAAACATTGGAGTTGCTCTCAAATCTACAAAAGATGAGAGTGATTCGGATAAAGATGATGATGATGAGGAAATGGCATTGTTTGCCAAACGGTTCAGAAAAATGATGAGACCTTACCCAGGAAGAAAATTCAAACAAAATGAAGGCCTAAAAAATGAACCAAAAGAGAAGGACCCTATCATTTGCTATGAATGCAAAAATCCGGGGCATGTCAAATATGATTGTCCACAATTGAAAAGAAAGGGTCAATAAAAAAATAAGCACA